ATATATAATATAATATAATATAATATAATAGTTATATATTAGATAATATATTATAGTACATATTATAGTTATTAATTATTATTATATATTATATAATATATAATAATAAGTAGATATCATTTATTAATATATTATCGACTAATTATTATAAATAAAAACTAGTATTACTTTTTAATATGATTTATATTCGTAATGAGATTAAATATGAAAAATCGTTATTTCAAATATGAACAATTATTAAATTTCATCAAAATTGTATAATACATTAAAATGAATGATACAGTATCGAATGAAATACCTTATCAAATGTAAACTCGTAAACAAATGATACCTGATTTCAGTCAAATATGTATCCTAGTATCAATTGAAATAAAAAAATAACCAATGAGAAAGAAAATAATGACTGACAACAACCAATAAATTACAAATTTACGCTTATCGATAAACCGAGTTCAAAGAATAATAAAATTGACGAGTCTGTGATCAGAAATAAAAATGTTCATAGTCATTCTTTATGATAACGTTGTCGACGACAACAGGTCGTTCTTCAGAAATTTAATGGTAGGGGTAAAACGACTATATGTAGTGGTACATATGCGTATCTATTCACATAACGTTGTAGTAGTGGTTTGCTATAAGTAATTATGTCTGACGGAGATTCTCAGTTTAACAGTAGAAAACGAGTTCGTTTGTACGGTATTTAATTAGAAGATTAGGTGAAAAAAACACTGACTGTTTACTCAGCAACCAAAATTCAAATCAAAAATTTCATATTTCTCCTTATAGAAAAAAAAAAGAATAACAGAGTGTGAAAAGTTTTACAGTTGTCATCAAACGTAAGGTAAATAATTTCTATTGTTTCATATAGTCAATATTTATTAAGAATGACAGTCTTATTATATTGTAATTACTTTTTTGAAATATATTCATTGCAAACTAAAGGATAAGTAGAACAAGGAATATATATATATATAAATAATATAAATTATAATATAATATAAAATATAATATATAGTATAATATAATATAATATATAATATAATATAATNAAACATATAATATCACATGATCATCACATAATTCATCAAACGATTTATGAATGAAAATATCTTGCGTTTGGTCAGTTATTCTCACTTTTTATTATATTATATTTAATATATATATATAAATATAATATAATATATAAATAATTAATTATTAAATAATAATAATATATATACATATATATAAATATAATATAATATATATGTAAAGTAAAAATTATTAAACATATAATATCACATGATCATCACATAATTCATCAAACGATTTATGAATGAAAATATCTTGCGTTTGGTCAGTTATTCTCACTTTTTATTATCTTCTTAACAAAAAAAAAAAAAAAAAAAGTAAAAATAAAACAAAAACACACACACAATTTTAACACATCCACGTTAAAATTACAAATTTATTTGACACATATTAATTTTTGATTATACATATGTAAATTGTTTCTGAGATAATTTTCAAAACATAGTAAATAATGATAACAATAAAAGGTGCTATATAACGAATATGAGATAAGAAAAGGCTTTTGCACTTTGCTCTTATTTACTTCAACACTTGTTACCACACACAGATACACAGACAGACAGACAGACAGACACAAACACATACACATACAGTTAAAAATTGTCTCTTTTTAGAAGACAGAGGATGAAAGTGACTTGTGTGTAGTCACATAATTACAAATCTTTCAAGATAGATACATCTATTTTTTTTTTTTTTTGTCAATTTTGTTTGTTCTTTTCTCTCTCTCTCTCTCTCTCTCTCTGTTTTTTATATCTTATTATAGTATGCTTGATATTAAAGTTATCTCGTAAATTAGCTCGATTTATTATTTAAGATAGTTATACAATTTTATATGATATGCCACTAACATTCATATCATTTTCTTTTATCTATCTATCTATCTATCTATCTATCTATCTATCTATCTATCTATACGGTAAATTACATCGTATTAATAAAATAACAAAAAAAAAAAACATGTATCATATTTTGTTCCTAAGGATTGTTTCATAAATGGACCGTTGATTTTGAAAGTTGTGTGTCCATTTAAAAAAAAGAGAAGGTATCACGTAATCTATGCTAATTTATGCTTAATTTAATGTAAACTTTTGATGTGGATAATTAGTTAATATTTAATTTCATAAAAAGTGAAACATATTTTGTACAATTTCAAATTGTTCGGTAAAAGTAATTGAGAATAATCATCGATAATACAAACATTTAACCCCTTGAGCAGCAGCACGTTCGAGTAAACTCGAACGGCGTATTATTTTATATTTCAATGATTTTTTTTACAATCAAATATAATAAAAAAAATTGCAAATAAAAATGTCAAAGTAAAGAAAAAGAATCGTATTTTTTTTTTTTTTCAGAAAAAAAAAATGGTTAATTCGAAAAGAAAGATTAAAAAGTCGACATACGTGTAACATTGCAATATTTGACTATTCTCAGCAAATGTGAAACAAAATTCAAAATTAACAGAAAAATATTAATTATTTTCGTATTTTTTTAATATTTTTTTTTTTGTCAAAACAATCTTCTAAACTATGTTTTTATGTAAAAAAAAAAAAAAACATAATGATTTTCTTTGGCCGTTTTTTTTTTTTGGTTTCAAAATCATTGCTACTTTAAGGGGTTGATTTTCTCGAAACAAGAGAAGAAAATGAACTTAAAACACTTTCCAAATATACGATTCAAATAATACATATATGTATTCTCACAATAATTCAATTAGTTATCGTTTATTTTCTTTTTAATTAGATAATATTTCTCAACGATCCAGAATTCTTATGAAAATATGAAATCGTTGAGGAATCTGTCACATTTTATCAAAAGACTCGAATCGACATTTAAGGATGGCGTTAAAATACAATTTTATAATTGTAAGCGTGGTTACGCGCAATCGAAAGAAAAAATTATTCGAGATAATAATGGTGAATTAATCATTCCATCACCCTACGGTGCTATTACTTATCCCAACATGTATATACCGGAATATGTTTGGCGTAACGTTAATACATTTCCAAAATTAACTGCATTGGTAAGTTTGTTTTGACTTATTCCTTTGAAATGTTGAATGAATTCGAATGATAAACAACAACAACAACAACAAAAAAGAGAAATAAATCAAGGATAGTTTTGATGGAATAATTATTTTCAGGAATGTGGTATTACTGGTAGGAAATATACGTACAGTCAAGCAAGGGATGCTACCAATTACATTGCAAGGAGTTTGAGAAACTTGAATTTTAAAGAAGGTGATGTTATTGCTTTGATTGCACCGAATTTGCCAGAATGGAGTTTAGCATTCCTTGGTATTTTGGAGGCAGGTCTCATCGTTACAACGATCAATCCACAATACACGATTGGTATATATTCATTAAATTATATTCAACACTAATTATACTGATAAATATTATATTAGTTGATTAAATTAAATGAACACATTGATAATCGTTGACTTGAATTCACGTCTTTTCAAGTTCTATTTCTAATTGCCGTTGACGTGATTCACAATGTCATTTGAAATTTTCAAAGTTTTCTAAAAATAAATTTATATATATATATATATATATATATATATATATATATATATATATTTAATTTTTCATACATTTTAATATTAATTTAAATACATAAATATTAGTTGTACATATTAAATTTATATTTAATTATTTCAATATAATATTTAAATAATTCTATTTTATTATATTATTATTATATATTTTATCATTTAAATATATAATAAAAAAAAATTTAATAAATATAAATATAATAATTAAATAATTCATTATGTTTGCCGATACTCAGTATTAAAAAAGAGGAAAAAAAAAAAGAAAATATGTCGGCCACGAATGTGTTAATTAACCTCTTCTTCCCGTGGCATTTAGCTCGATGAAAATCAACGTGTGCTAAACAAACTAGAATAATGTTTGTTTATAAATTGTTTATTAATAATCACAATACGAAGTAAAATGTAGATGTTGAGTTTGATTCACGATATTCGTGTTTGGGCATGAAAAATCTTCATCGTCAGTCAGACTCGCTAAAGTACCGGAAGGGAGGGGTTAAACTAATATTGTTTCTAATATTATTAATGAAACTTTTAATAAATATTATCATTAGAGGAAATAAAAAGACAATTGGAGTCATCTAATGCGAAAGGTATCATCACGGTAAGAGAAATTTGTCCAATTGTACAAAAAGCGACAACAAAAATACAATTGGGATCATCCATCATCGTTATCGATGATCAAACTGGTCCCATGATGGAAGGAGTGATACCTTTTCAGGTATTAATTATTTCATGTTTACAATTAATATCATTCTTCTTAATTCTTTCGCTTCGACAATCCAATATGCCGCAGATGTCGGATATATCCGACGCCCGAAGCGAACGGGTTAAATTTGAACGCCTTTTGAAATACTTTGAAAAATCAAAACTTACTTCAATTCTAAAGAACAATAACGTTATGCAATTACTATAATGAAAAGTAACGAATTAATAATCAATGAATTTAAACATTTGTTGTAGGATTTGATTAATCGTGGTAAAAATTTGCCCCCATTGAAACCCCTTAGTCGTTCTATAAATGATCTCGCAGTTTTACCTTTTTCGAGTGGGACAACAGGATTACCAAAAGGTGTGATGTTAACTCATACTAATTTAATCGCAAATATGGAAATGGTGAATGCATCAGTTGATCCACAAATATGGGTTCAAATGTCGGATGGTAAAGCAACAAAATTTCACATGTGTTATAATTGATATGCCCTTCTGTAACTTCGTCAATTATTTATTCAAAAATGATAATTATAATAATAATAATTATTATTATTTTAACAGGTGTTAATCAAGAAGTTATACCAGCATTCTTACCATTCTTTCACATTTTTGGCATGAACGGTATTTTGTTACCTTGTCTGATGGCTGGAGTAAAACTCGTTACACTACCGAAATTTCAACCGCATACATTTATCGACGTTCTCGTCAAACACAAGGTACCAACATTTGAAATCAATAATAAATGAACGAAAAGAAAAGAAAAGAAAAAAAAAAGACAGAGATATTTTTAAATGTTTTTACTCTTTATGGTTATAATCTTTTTAGCCAACAATTTTGATATGCGTACCACCAGTAATAATGTATCTATCACAATCACCACTTATCAAAAAAGAATATATTTCGAATGTACGAAGTGTTTTCAGCGGTGCAGCACCAATTACAAAAAGGGACGTTGATATGTTTTATGAAAAGTATCAATTGAATAACAGTAATTTCAAATTTGCTCAAGGTAAGTAAATTCTACGAATTTGTCATTAATTCATATTTTTTCTATTTTATATAATATTAGTCACGTCAAAATCTATATATATATATATATTATATACCGTGATTTATACTTTGGAAACACTATATTAATCATCCTACATATTTAAAAGATTGATTTTTCTAGGCTATGGATTAACGGAATGTTCACCAGTGTCATTTATCGAAAAAACTGGTTTAAAGTATTCTAGTATTGGAAAGAACGTTTGTGGTTGCGATGCAAGATTAATTGATCCCATAACAAACGTAGATATATCTGAACCCGGTAAAAATGGGGAATTGTGGATTAGGGGTCCTCACGTTATGAAAGGTTACTATAATAATCCGGCAGCAACTAAGGATATATTAGTGGACAATGGTTGGATGAAAACCGGCGATATTGCATACTTCGACGAGGATTATGATTTTTTCATAACCGATAGATTGAAAGAGTTGATCAAAGTCAAAGGTTTTCAGGTAAGTCGAGACCCCAACAAGGCTACAAAAAAATAACAACAAATGTTTAACAATAATAATTTTAATATAGATCAATGATAGATTATTTATAGACATTTTTAAGTAACAAAATGATTAATTTACTTTACAGAAATCAAATGTTTACATGTAGTAGAAATTTTCAATTCAAATGGCCGACCAGTCTAAATGACTGGTCTGGTATACCTATATCTAATGTTGATAAGATTTATTGTAAATTTTAAAGATAGAAATAATCAATCATCTATCAATATCATTTAAATGATAATACGTTCCATGTCCATGTTCCACTAGGAAAAAGGGTTCAAAAGCAACGTTTTGTTTTTCCTCTTAGGTTGCACCGGCAGAATTAGAAGCAATTTTAAGAACACATCCTGACATACAAGAAGCCGCAGTAATCGGTATTAGTGATGCTAGATGCGGAGAAGTACCAAGAGCTTTTGTTGTATTAAAAAATGGCAAAAAAGTTAGTGAAAAGGAAATCAAAAATTTCATTAAGGATAAAGTTTCCGAATACAAACAACTCAATGGTAAATTTTCTTTCATTTTTCTCCCTTTCTCTTTCTCTCTTTCTCTTTCTCTCTTTTTCACTTCTTTTCTTTATACGAATGGATACATTTTAGGTGGTGTTTCATTTATCCAAGAGATTCCAAAAAATCCAACTGGCAAAATTCTACGAATGCAAATCAAGAAAGCATATCTTAATGGAGATCTATAGAATCCTTAGAATCAATGATATTTTAAATTACCTGACAATAATTACTTGACAATATCTAGGTGCCATTTGTTTTAAAATAAGTTTATACTTATAAGCATTCTATTGATTATATGCAAAACAAGAATGATTCCATAGTAAAATAATTTAACTTGAAATTATTTAATTTTTAGAAATATTATGGATTGTAATATTATTTTTTATACTAGTATTTAAAATTAATTAATACGAATTTGTAGATCATTGTGTGGAAAATATTTTTATAATAAAACATCAATATATTTTATACGTTAAAAATAATAACGATAGAAACTAAACTTTCCTATCTGTTAACGTTACGTCATTGTTTTCCTTAAATTTAAGTATTAAAAAATGCATTGAAATTACTGTGAGAAAAAATAAAACATGTGTGCATATCGCACAGGTTAAAAGTGAAACCATCAAATAAACAAGTTTCGAGGATATAATTTATTATATAATATTATTATATAATATTATCTGTACTTTTAATTTGTAATTATTTATTTAATTATAAAAATATGCGCGCCTGTACGAATGCAACCCTCCAGACATATTTTGAAAATGTTGCTTGCGAGCGCCATCTACTGGGACGGAATTTTTTTGCAGTCAAAACTGTTTATACACGTATGTATGACGGGTTGCCTATCCTTCGGGCAGAAAAAAATTCCGTCCCAACAGATGGCACTTGCAAGCAACATTTTCAAAGTGTGTCTGGAGGGTTGCATTCATACAGGCGCGCATATTTTTATAATTAAATAAATAATTACTTTTAATAATTTTTATATCTTTACAACAAGAATTATATAGAACAATCAAAAATTGTTGAAATTTAATTTTCATTTTACTTTGTTTCAAGAATAAGATTACTTTCAATAATTATATGAATATTATACAAGTATAAATATATTATAAATTATTTACATTTTGTATTTATACTTATAGCCATCAGTAATACATACATATATGCATCTGTTTATTTAAGAACTTAACTAAAAAAATATACAGATTTTAAGACATTTTTAAGATTGAATGAACCTTTCTCTGGTACAGAATTAAAAGTTTCAATTAAATGTCCCATCTCCTTCTTAGTAAACATTTCCAATAATACATCGCTAATAAATAATGAAATTATTAATTGATTGCTGAATTTATTCATAAAAGTAATATAACAGGAAAAATATTAATTACCTGTTTTGTAAATATCTTTCATGAAGATATTTTGAGAGATCGTCTAAAATCGGCTCTGAATGGAGAGCAACAAATTGTTCTCTACAAATCTATAAGAAACAAAATTTACGTTATAAAATGAATATTTTTTGTTTACATGTTTATTACAATTAATTACCTTATTCATTATATCTATAGTACAAGGATGCGTCCAAAAACAATCATGCACTGACATAAACGTTATGCCAGCTCTTTCACAAAACAAACTGGTAAGCATCATATGACTAGAATCCAAAGAGTGTATAAAATTTGGAGGAAATGAATTTTTTTGTTTGAGAGAATCTATTTTTCTATAAATAAAAGAAAATATATTAGAATACAAAGCTTTGAAAAATAATAATTCTGTAATCAAAATCACAATGCAATATTATGTACTACTAACTCTTCGACATTTCGCACTTGTGCAGTGGATTTGTTGAATTTAAAATATGGCTGCAGAACTTGAAATCCTAAAGGTGTTTTCCATTCAATGGGTTTACCAAATATTGTTGAAATAATATATGCACAATTTGTGAACCAATCTTGAATTGTTCTTGCACTTTCGAACATTGTTCGTAAACTATCAAATGTTTTGTATGTTAGATATGTACTTGCTTCCCAACAATGTTCCAATGGAAAATTCTCTAAGTCTTATAAAAAAAAATATATATATATATATATATAGTAAGATAAGTATTTTAATTAAACTTTTTTTAAATATTATCACCAACACAAAAAGAGAAAATAATGTTAACATATAATATTATATTTACCTTTCATTTGTTTCATAATTTGTAATCTAGCACCATACTTAGTTACACCATAAACAGTAGTCATTACTGTTTGTTTAATAATTTTTCTAGTTAGATGTCCTTCTAACAATTGTGCAATTTTTACACCATTTTCTGCATCTTTCAATCGTAATTTCTCAACCTAAATCACATATGTAATATCAAAAATTTGTTTCTCCTTTACGTTATGTTTTTATTTATTTTCATATGTATACTATTTACCATATTAACAACAACACTGTAAACATCTTGCGGTGTATCAGAAGGATGTAAATTTACACTTGCTGCTCCAATTTGATCTCGTCCGAGTGCAGCATAATGTTGTAGACCATTGCAACTTCCATCTTGATGTACTGGAAAACAACATATGTATTTTTCTGGATTTGGAGATTTTAAAGCTTTAACTACTTCCATACACGATGCCAAGGTTTGCCAAGGCTCATCTGATTCTGCCCACCACATATCACCCTGTTAAATAAATATTCATTTGTTTAATTAATAATTATAAATTTAGAAAAACAAAAGAAACAAAATAATATTCTAATATTATAATTGTTAAGAGTATAAAACCATACATACCGTCAAGGGATTTTCCGCACTATCAACAATTTTATCTATATTTTCATTTGCAAATTTAAGTCGTTCCTTAAGATTTTCACGTTTCTTTAAACCAGTTAAATTTATAGTATGAATTTTTAACCAATCTAAACCATGAGAACCTAAGGGTTTCCCTTGAGCAAATATGAGGATTGAACGTGCTAAATCTGATCCTAAATGAGTTAGATGTGGAGGTATAGGATATACTCTTCCTCTGAAATCCAGATTGTGTGGCAACCAAAATACATGATTTCGAAACTGTTAAAAGGAAACCATTTTTATATTTATATTTCAATGAAGATATTCTCCTTTTTTTTTGTTTTGTTATAAAAATATATAGAAATGACTTACGTGATTTGCAAGAGATAATTTATAAAGGCAATCACACCATAACGAATACATTTCTTCTTTCTTCTTTTTTAGCTCCAACTTTGTTCTGGAAATACAGGAGTTGTCTTTTACATTTTCATTTCCCATCGAATCATCTGTAGATAATAAAATGGAAGGTGGTCGTGGTACATCCAATTTAACTGAACCTCCTTCTTGAAATACCTAATCAATTGCAATTTTATATAAGATGTATTGTTTCACATTAATTATATTTTCAATTCTATTATATACCTTTATTAAAATATCAAGCACCGGAGTATTAACTTTCCATGGTATAGAACCTAATTGATTCAGACTATCGAGTGCTGGATAAAGTTGATTTGCAGGTAAACTCTCGAAAAATTGAATTTGCCTAGCTTTCTAAATAAATGTTACATCAAATTTATTACATTCACATGTGTGCATTGTGTTATTTATATAAATATATTTATATTTATATTTTCCAATTGAATACATACCGCATAATATGGAGTTCTCACAAAATTTGTTTTTAATAATGCATATCCTCCAGAATTTATAGATATCCAAGGACGTGGTGGACATAAGGATGGTATTAATGTTGCTTCAAATGTTAATATATTTGACTGTGCATCTTTATACAGTTTACATATAATAGGATGAGGTTTAACCTTGAATAAATGTAATAATATTATTTAAGACCTTAATAAGAGTCAAATAATAATTAAATCTAAGATGTGTATTTATTTCTAAAACAAACCTGTTCTATCAAAAACTTTCCTTTATTTCTATATAATTTATAAAAAGCTGGTTTCTGACGTAATTCTGAATTTGTTGATTGATTATCTCCGTTAATTTTGATATCATTAATGATAATCTTATATAAAAATTTGCCTAAATTATAAAACACATGGTAGGGCCACTCTACACATTCTTTATCTAAAGAAGGACCATAGTACTGATTTTCATGTAGAAGTTTATTCCATACAATACGACCATTTACTGCTTTTTCAGTATCAGAAAAATCAGTTTGCGAATACCACTTCAAATACTTATTATAAATATCAATTGTCTTATCCAAAATACCATTTCTTTCTTTCATAAGTACCTGTAATTATTCAAAAATATATAAGAAATGTATTTATTTATGTTTATATAATACAAAAATAAAACACACACATACCTCGTATTCCCTAAAAATTAAAAATCCTAATCTTATAGATAACAATGACATTGATAGCGAATAAGACTGTGAATTTTGTGCTAGATTTCTTATTTCTTGTAGAATAAGATTTATATAATTTTCTTTTGGAAGTATTTTTAAAAATGGATAAAGAGCTAGTTTTGGAGGTCTGACTTCTGATTCCTTTTGCTTTAAATAATTGAGATTTTTTTCAAAAGCTTTCGTAGCAATCTCTTTCCACGAAGATTCCAAATCAGTTAATTTCTTGTTCTAGTAAAATAATAAATAAGAAGTAAATTAATGTATAATACATTTAACTATTACTGTATTAAATAACAAAATATATGTTATATAATTTATAACATTATAAATTTAACAATTTGATATCAATCAACTTATACATTTTTATAATTACTTACATAGTGTAAAAATTTATCGTTATTTACTGAATGAAAGTTTTCAACACTTTTTATAGGTAAATTATATGTGTTTTCTTGCTCTAATTGCATCTTCAAACAATTTTTTAATTGTTCAAGCGTTAAAACACCTTCTGCTGGATATTTACGTAAATTAATTTTATCAATATTCTTTAAAAGGTTACAGTCGTACGACATTTGAGGCTCAACATATTTTGGTTGATAATCTGGTTGAAATAATTGTATCGTTTTCATAATATTTTCCGATTGATTTAATTTAAATTTTGATTTATTAAAAATATCATCAAACGATATTCCATTATTAATCATATTAGATTGCATTTTTCGAAATAAATCTGAAAATATAAAAAGATGTAATTATCAACTGTTCTCTTATATTATGTACAAATTTCTATAATTACCTTCTTTATTGTTTTTATTTGGGATCTTTCCAATTAGTTCAAAAATAGCTGCATAAGTTTGTGGATCAGGAGTTATAGAATTATTCACCATAAGATTATAAACATTTAAAGTTTTCATTACGTTTCCGTCTAAAGAATAATAGTCAAGAAGAAGATTACAAGCATTTCTAATCGTTGCAGGTGGTACATTATTATCTTTTTTTATTAAATATTTTAATAATCTTGGAACTTTGTCCAACATTTTACAAGATAAATAAACATCTATTTGTGCTAATACTATTAGTGAATGCATATTCGTTGAATTATTTTTTGTCTGATCTTTTGAACATGACTTTTTAACGTTCTTTCGAATATTTTTAGATTTTTTATTTTTTATCAATTTTTTTATGTTGCATTTATCCTCCAACGATTGATCTTTAATTTTAGTTCTACATGAAAAAAAAAAAAGAATATTATTATTATTATTATTTATAAATATATTTATTAAAAATATTATTTACAATTATTTATTCCTAATGTTTTATTATTCATTTAATAAAAAAACTTACTCTCGTATATTAAAGGCAGATTCATTATCATTGTCAAGTTTTTCTATAAATTCTTCGGTAATAAACGTGTTTGAAATATGTGAACTATTAATTAATGACTCATGATCATATATATCAGATTCTTTGAAATTTTCATGAATAGTACTACTCTTTTGACTTAAATTTTCATCCAAATTATAATACATATCAATATCACTAGCACAATTTACTTGATCTCCCTAAAATATTATTATTTCATAATTTACAAATAAATTAAATGACAAAATTATTTACAACTAATATGAAAAAAAACGTTATACTTACGATAATAGCTGTATCATTTTTTATATCTGAAGTACTAATCGTGTTTATATTTCTTTTACTATATTTCTCATGAGAATGATTGTTTTTTATTTTATGTAACTTATCTAATGTTACATCTGGTTGATTGACCAAAAATGACAAATGACCAGCATTTAATTTTTTCACTGCAGCTTTCTTATTACTTGTAATTCGGTCCGTTACTAAAATCAATAATATATTAATAAAATAAAATAAAATAAAATAAAAAGTGCACATATAAAAAAGAAGAAGATTATTCATGATAAAAACAATGATACCCTCAAGCAATTCTGCATATTTTTTTCTTATTCTAGGCTTTTTTTTAACATTAATACGTATTTCAGCATCATTTGTTGTTGTTCGAAAATAACATTTACTTATAAACCACATTGCTGAAATAATATAAAATATATGAATGAATAATTTGAATACTTTTATATTGATTAATAATTAATATAGAAAGAACAATGTGACATTATTATAATATATATATTTATATTTATATTTATATATAAAAATAAATGTGTTATATAGAATATCTTAATTTGTAGATATTATACAAACTTGAGGTTGGATTCCGATGTTGAACCTTGCAAAAAGAACATAATGGCAGTCGATTTACAGATGATTGTGTTGGTAAAAGATAAATATTTTGGTAGGATATACACTGAGTTGTTTTTAAAAATCTATACATATTAATATAACAATTAACACATTAGACTACTCAACCAAAAAGAATAGTTAAACGAATTCCACCAGCATGTTTTCGCGGGGTAACCATCTTGTCTGATTCAATGTTCGTTTACATTAACGAGTGTTCTAAAGAGACGTACGTACGTGATTGGTTGATTTCTGAAAGACAATTTTAAATGATTATTTGTAATAAAAATAAATTTTAATATATATTAGTTTTTCTATCATTTTTATAGAATATTATTAAAATTATAATTATCTATTATTAATTTAACAGAATATTGAATATTTACTATCTACAAAAAAGATAACCTATCAAATTAAAGACCTATACTCATGAAAGTGTATAAGGATGTAACATTTACTAACAAAATTTTGATTGGTTTTGAAATGCATGTGAACCTCTCGGTGCCTAATTATAAAACGATATGTATCGACAGTCTGCTTTATATCTTTACGCGACAACGATAAATTTATGGGTGTATTGTAATAATTAACGTGCCGGAGAAGTTTAATAAATTCAAAAGAATTGTGAACAATCTTTCTTATACAAGAAGTAACATTAAATGTGTGAAAGGAAACACTGTCATTGGAAATAACGATCGAAGAAGAACATTGAGGTTAGTTCATAATATTCATAGATATAATATGTTTCTTTTAATCGAAAATGGCATTCGTAATTTTAAGAAAGTACATTACCATGCTACCAAAATTTTCATGAAAATATTTTTATAGGAATATTTCATAATATTGATTTTATTTTCAATTCTAACCATAAGTATGAAATTGTACAACCATATGGTTTTCATTGAAGGGAGCAAGGTTAAAGCTTTATTTTTGTTGAGCATTCAGTGATTGTTTTTTTGATTATGATATTTGTTAAAAAAAAAAATAGGAAATAAACGAGATAAAAGATAGTTTATTTATTTCCACGGGTAGAAAATATAGAATTGTAATAACATAAATCTTTGAAAAGAAAGAAAATGAAAGAAAAGGGTTGGAAGGGGAAGGGAAAGAAAAGAAAGGTAGGAAAGAAACGTTTAGGGGCGTTTGGGGAAGATAGAGACGCATTTGGACGCAACCCAGACGCATTCGAAATGGCTGAAAGAGCGCTTGCGCCTTCGGAGATATTGGGGTGGCGTAGTTGACTACCTCGGGAGTTCTCGGTAGACGGTACGAGGATGGCTGTCGCCTTCGGCGACAAACGCGATGAGAAACTGGCCAAACACGGCGAGCGGTATAATATCGCGTTGGTGCTGGGTAGAGGAGATCCCCATAGCGCCAGAACGTCGAAGGTTTCGACGTATACACGGTCTCCAATTACCTTTGCACCCACAACAAGTAGCTGGGTGGGTGATATCACTGTTCATCGGTAGCGGCACCTTCGCTGTGTCAACGCCTTTGCTCGAACCATTCGGGCTGCGTTCTCTTCTTTCGATTTCCCTGGCCACCATCTTCCTCGTTCACTTGCTCTTCCATCTAGCCGTGCTTCTTCTTGATCCGGCTGATCCTAGAGTAAGAGCAAGACCGACGAATCTAGTAGTGCCTGAATTTGATCGTAAAAAACATCCTCACGTTATCGAGAACGGCCGGTGTCATCTTTGCAACATAACGACAAACGGTGACAGAACGAAACATTGTTCGATCTGCAACAAGTGCGTCGTACGATTTGATCATCACTGCAAGTGGTTGAACAATTGTATAGGGGCTAGAAACTATCCTTTATTTTTGGCTTGCCTGATATCGGCTATATTGGCTTCTCTCTCTGTAGTAGCCTTGTCCATCGCCGAGTTATTTCTCTTCAACGTCCATCGAGACGTTCGCCGCTCGAATGCGACGATGGAGAACGCTACTAATTTACCTTCGACCATTTTTCCGATACAACAACCACCCGGTACCGGCACGCTTCTCGTCATCCTGACGATAGGCATACTATCGGCAATAGCAGCCATTCTATTGATACATTTATGTTTCTTCCATGGTTACATAGCCTGCCTCGGCTTGACTACCTACGAGTACGTCAAAAATAAAAGGGAAAGAAAATTGGAGGCAGGTAAAACGAACTTAACAACGAACGTTACAACCTGTCCCTCTTTTTGCGCCAGAGTCAATGTACCCGCAAGATATCGTTTCTGTGATTCACGCGTAGACGCCTCGATGGAGGTTGTCTCACGCGAAAGAAATGGTACGAAGGAATACTCGGAATATGGTATCGATCGACCGGAAGACGTGCCTTCGGGCCGAGATCGAAAGAATAACTTTCGTCTCTGCTTCACTTACGAGACCAATTCTAATGGTGCTTCGATCGAACTATCCTCTCGATCGACTATTGACGAGAATAACGATGACAAGCATCGCAATAATTCTTCTTCTTGGACCGGGAATGTTGCAGTTGCCGTTGCTGAGTCACCAGATTTCAAATCGTCTACTCCTTCACCTGTCTCTTGCTGTTTCTCCATTGTAAATCCGATCTCTTCGGCGAGACTCGAACGTAATAAGCAGCCTCGATCGAGAAAATGTCGCAAGGATAGTACAGATAGTATTGCTGGTACTAGTGCCCCTAAAGAAAGGCGAACTTGTGGTACGATCGGAAGAATAAGAACCTTTCTTCGTACGCGTTTCAGAAAAAATGCTCGTCAACGATCCATTAATGCGGAAAGTGCGGATAGAACGAAAAGAAGAAACAGAGTAGCACCTTCTGTCGATCGAGAAGAAGGAAACGTGACTGAAACGAGCGTGTCAACTTTCGAAAATCAACTAGAAAATAGAAACGAGACGAGAGAGGAACCATCTTCAGTATCCTTATCACGTCCTTCTAATAAATTACCCCCTTTGGATTTAAGAACAGCCAGAATTTCGTCGATCGACGACATTGTTCCTGATGAAATCGGTCCAGATTTAATTCCTGTGCCTCCTCCTTCTACAGTAACGGCAATTGTGGCATCACCAACGGTAATACCACCCCCGATTAGAACTATTCCATCTCTCTCTAAAAGAAATAATCATCAATCTCATCTTCGAGCTCGAAGATCATCTCTTCGAAAAAGGCCGAGATTCAAGATGGGTCCTCGGCTTGCTCAATCTGCTCAATTATCGCCCATTCCGGAATCGGAATTCTCGAAACCAGCTTCTCCACGTTCTCCACCTCAACCAAACCATTTTGCCTTTCCACCGTTACAAAATTAATCGATGTATACACATGAATAGGGATAACAAGAAGAAATGGAAGAACATTTGTAGACATTTCAATTGAAATATCATCAAAGACAGAGTGTAATCTGATGATTCGTTTTCACGTTTGTTAGCAGAAAGAAATGTTGTTTGTTATTTCAGAAATTTGATAATGGATGATAGTATTGTACTCGATAAAAAAAAACACTCGATTTTCTTTCGACAATTTCTTTAGGGAAACTAATAGTACAGAGAAATAGAAATGGAGATAGAGAAAGAGAGAAATTTGTTCGTCCTCACAAATCGATCTGCGATATCACACGCTTACAATTAGAATTTTTCGATAATATGCGCTCACACATCGTGTCTAACATACAATTAAAATAATACCGAGCCTTTTGTAACACGGCGAACATTCGTTTTTCGCATAAAATCGAATAAAATCGCGTGATGTTTTTCTTTTTTTAAACTGTATTATTCAATTTGAAGAGTAAGATCACCGATCATTATTGATTGTTAGAAGGGTTGCTAGATATGACATTTTTTCTGATCGTAATCGTACGAATAAAAATTAGATTTTAGAAGACAAAAAAAAAAGGTATAAATTAGATATATTACAAATAATTAATACGAATATAATATACTAGATCACTTATATTACAATAAATACGTAGATATCGTATTTTCTTAGAGAAGATAAATTTGTCTTAATAAAATTAAGATAGAATAAAATAATGGAGAGTTTTTAGAATATACAATTTTAATATCTTTGCATTTAAATAAAAACTTAGAAAATGATTGAAGATTATGATACGACTGTGATCTTACTCAAATCAAAAGTTTCGAATATATATATATATAAATGTGGCTTTTTGTATTTCTATTTGCGTAATTATGATATACAACATAAATACATATATACATATACATATATATATATATTTTCCAATCGAATAAAATTTGATATAAAAATTATAAAAAAATATCGTAAAATTAACACGAGAATCTCGCTCGTAAGAATTAATTAAGAAAGTTTTTCCGTCGTTAAAATCTTTCATCCAGGCTACTTCAATTTTATATTGCAATTTTTTACGAATTTCTAAAAAATAACGTTAAAATAATGATACTTTGCGTAAAATTCAAATATAGAACAACGCGCCTTTCATAATACATTTTCACCGCCGTAAAAGTTCAATATTTTTCGACACATTTTTTCGATCTCTAAGAGGAGAGATCAAGGATCAACATTTTGCAACGAACTCGCGACGATGATCGATCAATTGATTGATCAATTTATCGATCTAAAAGAATGTCCGACGTTTAGATAATAATATTTTGATACTAAAGATGACACAGGCTGGTACGTGTTAGCGAATAAAAAGAAAAAAAAGAGATAGATAAAGTAGGAAAGACATAAACTTGTCCGATTAAAATCAACGATTGTATTATATCTTGCTAAGGTTCTTTCCAAAGTATGTATAAAAATGAATAGTCAAGCGTTGTTTGACACGCGAACTTAGGACAGTGTTCCCGTTTATTGCCCTTCTTACCGAGGCTTTATGGAATAAGCAGCACGCATGATCTAGATTTCGGTAAGCTTTAAATATTTCAATGAAATCAACAAAGATAATGAAATATAATTAACAATTAATATAAAATAAATAATGCAAATCTTTGTTTTATCTACTGAACTTCTTTTGATATATATATATATATATATATATATATATATATATATATAATTTTGTTTACTTTCATTTGATTTTTACTTATTTATTTTCATTTTTACAGATGAATATGAATGAGGAAAATGTAACAAAATCTGAGAAGACAAACGTTTGGAAGGATGTTCTTGGCTCTCCAAGATACGTCGTTGCACCGATGGTCGATGCCAGCGAGTTGGCATGGAGACTACTTTCTCGACGTCATGGGGCACAACTCTGTTACACACCTATGCTACATTCATCGGTTTTTTTAAGGGACTCAAAGTATAGGAAAGAAGCGCTTGTTAGCACGCCAGAGGATCGGCCCTTGATTGTACAAGTTAGCTAGACTTTAAGGGTTTTTTTTTTTTTTATTGGCTAATCATTCAAGCGTTAATATGTCCCTCATCTCCTCTCATCTTGTTTATATATATATCCTCTTTCTATTTCCCATCAGTTCTGTGGCAACGATCCAAACATTTTACTGGAAGCAGCGCTTTTGGCAGAACCCTACTGTGATGCCATAGACATTAATATTGGTTGTCCTCAAGCAATCGCAAAACGTGGACGCTACGGTGCTTTTTTACAAGACGATTGGGATCTTCTTCGAGCGATCGGTGTGTGTGTATATATGTATGTGCGAGTGTATATGTATTTATATGCATGTAAAATACATAATAGATGATAGTATGATATATCAATAGATGTATATTGTTTATATTCTACACGTTTCACTTTATAAAATCAAATGTGAATTGTGTGTTATAACATTATTAATAATTTACAGTTAGTACAGTTAGTACGGGACTTCGCATTCCTCTTACTTGCAAATTACGAGTATTTCCGGATATAGATAAGACGATTGAATATGCTCGCATGCTCGAAAATGCTGGTGCAAGTTTACTCACTATACACGGTCGTACAAGAGATCAGAAAGGTCCTTTAACAGGATTGGCATCTTGGAGTCATATTAAAGCTGTTAGGTATTAAGAGTATTTTATAATAAAGCTTATAAAACAAAAGAATCACACTTATAATACTTTCCTTTTATTTTCATAGGGAAGCTGTTAAAATCCCAGTATTGGCAAACGGCAATATACAGTGCTTGCAAGACATTGAGAGGTGTATTTCAGAGACCGGTGTTGAAGGAGTTATGACAGCGATAGGCAATCTTTATAATCCATGTATATTCGAGTCTTGTTATCCACCTTGTTGGGAACCGGCCTTGGAATATTTAAATCTTGTCAAAATCCATCCAGCACCTGCTTCTTACATACGAGGCCATTTATTCAAATTATTTCAACGCATGTACGTATTGGCTTTTCTATTCTTATCTTTATCTCATTTTTTTTATATTATATATATTTGATCATTTTTAACTTTGTCATACATAATGATACATGACATTAAAAAGAACATGAATTTACAAATGCACGTACAGCATGCACTTAACTAGAGAGTAGATTTTGTTTAGCAGAAAACAAAGAAGATAGAGATAACCTGGCTACGAATTCGACCATGGAATCGTTCAGACAAGTTGTTGAAAATGTGAGGGATCGGTATCAGCCGTATCATGAGGGCAAGCGGTTGTGGTACGAAGAAAAAAGCGGTAAATTTATTAGATCTTTTATAATCGTTTTAAACTTGCTCGCTAACCGCGCCGCAGAGAATAAATTCTGACCACAGACCAAAACTTATTTTTTAACGTTAATTACTGTAATTAAAAATGTGTGACACTCTCTGGGCTCTTAATGGGAATTGATGTATTGTAAATATATAAAATTGGTAATGAACGTATTAATCTATTAATAGTTTCAACATAATTTTCATTTTGTCCTGTCATTTGCTTTAGATTACAACTTAAATTTACCCCCGTGGTTATGCCAATCCTATATACGTGATTCACCACAGGAACATACAGATAAAGTACAGGCAAAGAGAATTGAAATGGTCAGTTTTGTGTCGTTCATTAAAATTTGTTTTATTGTTAGGTTTTGTATTTTTTTTTTTAATGAAAATTAAATATTATTTGCATAAATACATTACAGACAAGTGAATCTGCAAAAAGAAGATATGAAGATGAGGAAGGAAACCAAATATCTCATAAACATTTCAAAAAATTACGACGAATAGGGCGTACGTATAGGCCTCTTTGTCAAGGTTGTCCAAATCCTGTGGTTAGTATATAGATCATGAAATATTCTCTTTTTTTTAATAATATTATCTATGTCATCATAATTATTCATATAAATTATTTGTATATTAATTATGATTATTTTTCTTTATCAAGGGCCTTAAATGTGATCACAAGTTATGTCGCCAATGTTGTAGGAAAAAGTGCATTACAGAAAAATTGATCTGTGTCGGACATAGAAATTTGTTAAAACAAACACAACGACAAAACGTTCAGAATATGAAATGACAGTGTATATAAAACAAAAAGATGTTAAATAAATAATGTAAATAAATTACAATAAACATTTTCAATTTTTCTTTCAATGTTATCTACCTTTATTATAATTATATTGATTATAAATATTGTAATTTTTCGTAATATATTTTTGTATTATCTTGAATTCTACATTCGAGATAAAATAACGTAATATTTTATAATTCTTATTTACATTTAAATACTCTTTCGATACGATCTATTTCGTATGTATGTTCCGTTGTATAAATGATGAACTTTCAATATTTATTACTAGATGGCGTTTGTTTGCTATGGATTCGGCTCGAACTCCTGTTTTCCCTTATTATATACAGAATAAAGAAACGCGGAACGTTGAACCGGATAAGTGAAAATGTCATCATCCAATATTTGAGTTTCCTGTGAGTTAAGAATATGAGAAAATGTCACAGATAAAGCTTTTTGTAGGTAATATTTCATCGTTTCTTTTAACGTTCTAAATAGTGGTTACGTTATCAATTCTGTGTCGTGAAAGATGAAATTCAAGAATATATATATTGATTGATCTATTGATGATTGTATAATTTCAACAACAAAATATATGGCATGTGAAAAATTATCGATATATATATATAAAAATATATAAAATTGTAATCTTAATTTTCCTTGCAACAAATTTGTTCATGTGAAATAAAAGTGTAAAAACATATTTTATTGTAAAATACCTAACCTATTTAACAATGAAATCGGGTACGACGGTTAAGCATACGGGATCTATACTCTTGAAAACAGAAGAAAATGAGAATGTTTTTCAATTAATAGGAAATCGATGTCAGGTAAGCAAATTTCATTAATTATTCATTATTTTTACTATAATTTTCTCAAATATGTTTTTCTTTGGCCATATGATTTCATTATTGGTAAAGTCACGTCAACCAATATTTTATATTTTCGATTTGCTACTGTTTTGACAAGTAATTGTATACTTATGATCAAATAATGTTAATATAAAATAAAATCTAGGATTGTTATTGCATATATTATGTGTTTTAATATTATTAAATATGTCAACTTGTTTAATTACATTGAAAAAAGACACTTCATTCGCCCCTCCCTTATTATGTGTGTGTCTTTTAACTCATGTCAGTTAACAAATGAAAAAAGTACAAACAATCTATAAAGATTCATTTTCTTAAATATTTTATTATTTATTATTATACTTGTATCATATTTTTATTTTATAAAAAGTTGTTAATATGAGAACACATATTACTTTTAATATTTTAGTGTTTAGCAGCAGGAGTTATACAGTTATACTTAACTGAGCCACCTTTTCATAAAGAATGGGTAAAAAAGAATACTGGAATAATAACTTTAATAAGAGATAATCCAAGGCGTAGTTTTTTCTTGCGATTATATTGTTTACAAAGAAGAGCCATGTTGTGGGAACACGAAGTTTATAATTCTATGGATTATAAAACCCCTTTAGTTTATTTTCATACATTTGAAGCTGAAGAATGCATGGCAGCATTCAATTTTGCAAATGAAGTTGAAGCTATCACGTTAAGGTAGATATATATATCTATATATATATATATATATATATATATATATTAATATAATTTTATTTGACAATTATTGCAAAATTGTTAATTCATTTATCTAATGATAAAAAAACTATGGTATAATTTGAAGAGATATTCTTCTTGACAAATTGAATGCCAAACGACAAAGACGACAAGAAAAAAGAAACAAAATGGAA